AAAGAAAACCTCCAGATTATTCAGATGTACTTTTTTTAATAGTAACATTTTTAAATATCATTTCAAGTGTATTCACTTAAGAACTTAAAAATCCTCCAATTTTCGATTAAGTTTCTTAAATATTTATAGAATTAGATAAACTAAATAGCGTTTATGATTTTGTTTTTTGACTACTATCTTAAAAATAAATAAAGCCTCCTTATTGTAAAGCTTAGTTTTTACTTATCTTAATGCTTTCTAAACTTATTGATACATTTGATTCTGCATAAATGCTTCCCCCAAATTATGCTAAGTTATTTCTAAAATATGTCCTTGTTAAGTTTAATTTACATTGTTCACAAGATATTGCTCCCCCATATTGAGAAACACTATCTTCAAATACAGAATCAAAATCAATAAATGATGATTTAATAACTCTTACATTACTGCCAGCCTAAGAATCCTAGCATTTAAAATAATTTCTATAGCTAAGCAAGCCATAGTTAGATAGCTAGATCAAGATAATTCCATTATCTTGAGTTCCAGTAATTACCTCTTTTGGTATTGTTTTTGTCTAACATAATATTGTATTATTTATTAGAGTAAAATTTATATTTGTACCAGTTAAATCAATCATCCTTCATTTTGATTGACTTTATAAGGACAAAGTGTCTAGAAAAAAAGAATTCTTAATTATTATAACTGATTCATAATCTTAATATTATCCTTTATATTTACGGAGAAAAAGATTTTTAAAATTACTTGCTCGTACATTATCAATTATTAAAGAATTTATTCCAAGATTCAAATGTATAAATTAAATGTTGTATCCTATATTATCGAAGTTTGAGTTCTGAATAATTATTTTTGTCTTAGGTGTTATTTCTTATTAGCTAGCACTTATTAATGTGTTTATAAAATTCTTTACAGTTAAATTCCTAATATGCAAAAAGGCATTAGATATAAAAATAGGGCCAGAATAGCTTTAATCAGAAATTTAATATTCTAAAATGGTATTCCATAGATAGAAAGTGCTTCCAATACCTTTGAATAATCCACCATTCCATTGTAGATTTTGATAAAAAAAGTCAAAAATAATTACAATAACATCAGGTTTAAATATCATAATATAAGGCTCAATTTAATAACTAGAACATCTTTAAATATTAAAAGAATCTATTTTTAATTGAGGAAGATTAAATATTGCAAAAAATGCTGGGCATAGCTCAATTTAACTATAAATTGATTCAAAATCATTGATAGGATTAGAGTCAATTTAAATATTATCTCTTCCATTGAAGTAATTCTAAATTTAGGTTGTAATTTTATTGGTGTATTCCTTATAGCATTGTATATATAATAAACCTATAGAAGCTGTTTCTTTGATGTTTTAAACTTCTAAATAACTTGCATTTCCTAGTCCACCTCTGATATTATAGCAGGTACTATTATAAAGTTCTATGAAATATGCATTTTAAATCAGAAATATCCCAGCAGAATTTGAAGTTGTAAAATTGAAATAATGATTTCGAGAAATCAATACTCCAAATAGACTGTCAAAGAAGACTAATCCAGCATACCTTGATTTAACATTAAATGAGTAAACATTATCCATAAAAAAATAAAGCAGTTTAAATTCTGATTACTAATTATTCTGATTTTTGTAAAAAAATGTTCCATTCTATCCTGCTCTTGCATAATTAATTTATATATTTGATATGCTAACATTACCCAAACTGTCATCAAAATAGATTGCGGCACCATTCTCAATGGCTACAGTCTTATTTATAAAGATATCACTGAGAGTGACATTGTTCATCTCTTTCAAATACATTATACCTCCATAAAATGCAATGCTAAATTCATATGAGGAATTAGTATCAATGAAGTTGGAATTGCTGATAAAAACAACGCCTCCATATTTTTTCTGATATGAGTTTTTAAATATATTATCTTAAAACTCAACCTTTCTCGCTGATTTTATATAAATAATACCATGTGTATTTGAGGAATTTTCATTCATAAATTATGTAGGGAATATTTGCTCTAAATTCTCTTAAAATTTTGATTTTGATATTTAAATTATAGTATTTAGACTCATACTTGAGATGCAGGAGCCATTCGGACTTTAAAATAGCGAGAAATCAGATTGAGTTATGTTTATTGAGTAAGCATTTTATAAATGAATTACTCCTCCCATTTATTGAAATGCAGATGCTTTTGTCTGAACTAATTTTACAATCTCTATCTCAATAACTTAAGAATCTATAAAAATCACTCCACCCTAGTTATAAGCATATATTAAGGTACATTATTATATGTCTATCATTCTCAGGATGGATTTATTAAAAATACTAAGTTTTCTTATTTCTACGAATGAATGACTTTAATATTAAACCAATTGCTGTGTTAATGATTCATTCAAATCTTCACTTAATAATCTGTTTTATTGCATTTATTATTATTGAATATATATAAAGCCTCCATTGTTGTACGCATAATTATTGATAATTGATATATTTTTGAATTCTGTAATAGAAATGCCAGTTACAATCACAGATCCACCATTTAGAGCAAAATTGTTTGCAAATAAAGTTTAGTCTAATTAAAGCGAACAGTTCTCACAATAAATTGCCCCTCCATTCATAGCTTGATTAAACTTGAAAACTGACCCTTGATCAGATACACTTGAATTATTAATATTTAAAACTCCCCCCTTAGAACGAAAATAACAGTTCTAGAAACTACTAAACTATATATCAATATTTAAAATATTATTAAGTTCAAAGGGACTAGGATAATTTTTATCAAAAGCAGAACTAATATCAGTTTGATTTTATAGCATGAATTTAGTTGAAGTGTAGTCTATATCGAATTAATTTAAAAGGCAAGTAAGTTCAACTGATTCAATTTTAATATTCTGGCCTTATTCAGATTAGATTAACTAATTTTTATTTAATCCCTCAAGTTTTATTTATCTAAGCGTAAATTAATCAAAATTGTTTAGTTAAATTAGTGTATTTGAACTAAGGGTATCTTTAAATGTAAAATTGCATTAATTTATAACAATATTTGCATATTTTGAGTTACTTTAGATCAATCTTTCATTTATTTACAATACAGTATTAGAAGATATCCAAGATAGGTTTTTAGAGCTTAAGCTAAAATTATTTTAGTTTAATTCTAGGCTTATATTTTATTGTACAGCAGATTCCTCAATATAAAATATAGATCCGCCAAGAGCAAGTATATTATCAAAAGCCGATTTCTATATTATAACACTACTTAAAGTCAAATTTTAACCGAATTATATAAAGCCTCCATTTATAGTACTCAATGTTTTTGTAATAGTAATATTTTCGATTTCAATAGCCTATGTTCCTTTAATCAGGTTAATGATTGCCGATTTTTTTGTATAAATTTCTGAAATAATACTATTACTGAGTTTGATATAAATTTTCTCATCAATATCTGAAATCAGTATTCCATTAATTCCAATCAATTAATCAAATGTTGAATTTAAAACTTATATTGTATGACAGTTATCACTGCAAATTTTAGATTACAACTATTGAGCTAAAGTGTTTTGTTGCAAGCTAGAAATTTAATTTTAAATACTTATCACACTTCCATATGAATTTATATTTTAAAAGCTCGAGTTTATTATTTCTACATGGCCTCCAACCTCATTTATCTCAATCAATGTTTTATAATTGAACAAAAAGTTTTTGAATGTCATATTCTAAATTTCGATAAACAGTCAAAGTAATTCTTACTTCTAATTTTAGATTAGGCGGAGACTGCAGCATACTTTCATGACTAATATCAAACTATAAATTAAGATTTAATTTCTAAATTAAAATACCTTTATTAGCGAACTAAATTAAGGTTAGCTATCAGAGGTATTTTGAGAATCAAAAAGTATATTCTAATCTTATAGTTAATTGTTTAGTTGGCAAAATTCTTATCCTTTTAGCATATTTTTCTTCTCATTTTCATCATATTTATAGCTGCAGCAAGAAGAATTTAGAGAAAATAGGCATTTATAATTATCATTGCTTGATAAATTCAAGTTTATATTACCATCTCGAATATCTAGTATTGAATCTACAGCATCGAATTAAATATTCCTAATAGTTAATCCAGCTCCCACCTGGAATTAAAATTTATCTCTCATCTTGTAATACACTTTGACAGAAACAGAATTGACTGTATCTATAATAATCTTAGTTGATTAAGCATTCTTATCTTTGTTTACAAATAGTCCTTAGTTAGTGTCATATCTTAGCATAGAGTGGTCCTAATCAGAAAAAAGTAGAATTGTTACGGTTGCTGATTCAAATGGGGATCCTATTTCATAAGAATTTGTAAGAGCATCTATTATTGAACCAAAAGGGTATTCTCTAGAGCCATCAGCATTATATTAGCTATTATATTCCATTGATTTAACATATATTGTAGTTTCCAGCTAACCCATCTTTTATTTGCAGGTTTTGGTTTAAAGATCAAGGTAAAACCCGCGTTTGCATGATAAGCATTAGTATTTTGAAGAGCATTCGAAACAAGTTGAATCACAGTCTAAACATAGAGTCTATTCAATCATACCATTAAAACCTAAGGTGATATTTCCAAATTTACCGATTCCACAATTACTGACGCAATTTCCAGTTATTAAATTTACAAACCCTCCAAGACATGAAGTAATATTCTTCTAAGTAATTGTCAAAGACTATTGATCTATTTCAAATGAGCATCTTAATGTTTTAATTTAGGCTCCATTTTTTTATTCGCATTCTATAATTTAATTTTAAAATTTATTATTTTAATTACTGTAGCACAAATTTTAATCTCCTATTTAATAAGTATTATACCCATAGATGCAAGTATCACAGATATACTCTGATCTTGCTTTTAAGCAAAGATCCGGTTGAGTGTCTAAATTTTAAATTATTGCTAAATATATAATGTACGAGCTTGACAGATATCTTGAAATCTGTTTGCAGTAACATTGAAATATCCATTCTTTTAGATATAAAACCCTTCAAGACATATCAAGCAATTATATTAATCATAGTAATTATAAATATGGCAATAATCAATGGAGCTCACCAATGATTCAGTTTAGGGTTCTAGAAAAATTAAAACTTATAAAATTCATACAGCAAGGATAGTTTGTATCTCCAATTGCAAGAGATTTTTGATTAATTGGATCATTACATTGAATGCAGTGAGTTAAATTGGAGGTCTAACATTTTAGACATTCAGATTAGGATTCGCACTCTAATAAAATAACAGTTAGAAAAATATTTTTATACTGAGGCAAGTTTGAAATAAATTTGGCTCTAAAGGAACTATTTCCGTTGAATAAGTATTTACCCAACCATTATTACTTGCTTCTCCATAGCAAGATTAGCAGCCAAGATCACTATCACAATTAGTACATAAAATTCCACAATCTACGATAAAATTATTATTATGGGAAAATACTTTTGCATTTTGAGGTTATGTGATTATTTGTAAAATGAATGCTAGCTTAAGTACAATCAGGAACACATTGATTGAAAAAACTAGTGAGATTACCTAGTGTATGATTTTCCTTCAGAAGGAAGAGGCCATTTTCGCATTTTTCACATTCTATTTTTTTTTGAAAAAATACTGGTGTGGCATTCTAAACATCCAGTTATCACGCTTTAACAACCTAATATAATAGCTTATTGTATAAAATCAAACTTACTGATACAATCATTTCATTCAAAGTCGAAGTACTCATGGACTTGACCTGTATATAATTTAGTGAATAATATATTTACATTCAGACCCATTTGTATATTAGAAAAGAAGCATGATTGCCAAATAAAGCATTTTCAAAATAATTAGGAAATTGAAATCCATATTCTAGTTTTTATTATTTCAAATATTTGTTAAATTATTTATGATTAGTTAAATAATAGAGGAAACTTATTCTTTTTATAGTATTTCTTACTTAATTTTTCTTCTCAATACAGATTCTGGAGTGTTATAGATTGATCTCCCATCGATACCTATTGATTTTTTATTGAGACATTTCCCAATAATATCCAATCCAAGTATCTTCCAATTGGAAATATTATTCCTACTAATTCATAAAACTCTTTTGATTTATGGAATTTCATTCATAATCTATCTTTAATAAATTTCCATCTTTTCACAAGCATTATCTTTTTATAATTCTATGAATGGCTTTATAGGTCTTGTCATAAACCATATATCATAGTAATGTTTAGAAAAATACTATATTAAGTGTTAATCTTCATTTTTTCTTAATCAAACCATTAATTCAACCCTCTTATAATTGATTTCTTCAAGATTTAATATAGCAAATTAAAGCCTTTTATTAGTTATCAAAATAAACAGACATCCATTGCCTTATAAGTACTTAATTGAATTGAATTTTTGTATCCTTAAATTATTAAAATTCAATTTGCAGCCTTGTCAATTCACAAAAAGAATCTATCAAATTTGTTTCCTAGTCCATTTGGACTGTAATCATTAAGTAAATTATTTCAAATATAATTTTTTTTCGTAATATCTCCTTGGTATTGATATTAATCGCAATCTATGAAGAATTCCTAGATAACAAATATTTATTTCTAGTTTTAATCCTATTTTGTCTTATTATCATTTTAAAATTATTAGCTATGAATTATAAGCATTAATTTTGATTTTTCAGTTGCTTATAAACAATTCTTATCAATACTTTTTCCCTCCCTTATCTTTTGTCTAAAATTGTTTTTACTATGGCTAAAGTTTTAATTCTAAATCTTCAATTCGAGATAAAATTATATTTTTGAATATTAAACTTATTGATCTTCTTCAGATATTTTATTAATCTTAGCATAAATTGATTGGTTGCAAATTTCATTCACTAAGAATTTTCTATTCCAAATAAATTTCATTTTGAATTAGTCAGTTTTAGCAATATTAATAGTGCTAAATGTTTCTAGAACTCTAGATTAGTTAACTAAATATCCATATAAGCTTAAATTATTGTAAACTTAGTTAAGATTTCGCCTAAGCATTATTTATATCTCCAGCTTATCTAATTTTAATTCCTTTTTCAAAAATGTTTGGCCTTTATTTAATTATCGAATGCATTTCTATATGTCTATCTAGATGTAAATTTTTCCTTTAGCTATGATATTGAAATTATTTTACTTTACTGATATTTCAAATAGGTACGAGTAGCCTAGAAAATTATGAGCTAATCTCTTTTTACCCCTTTAGTAAGGACATTATAATTGGCTTTTTTATCTTAATTTGAATTTGATTATTTTTCAATTTTTATAAAATTTTAGCAGTAGTTTCTTGAGTATTTATTCTATCTCAATATCACTCAAATGAGTATCTATAGCAATTTACTTCGATAACTCTATCAATAAAACAATTCTTGAGAATAAATTCACTTCTCATTGGGTACTCTAATTGAGACTATAAGGTACTATCATGATATTTTGGAATTGGGTTTTAACCTTCTTAACTTTAACAAGCCTTTGTCGTAATTTATTTTTTTCCAACTAATTATCTTAATTCTTGATTGAATTTTTTATAAAAGTTTAGTATTTAAGGTAATTTTAATCAATTAAGCATGTGATTTTTTGTTAAATGCTATTTTATTCTTAATCACTTAAATTATTCCAACTTTTTAATTTACTAATATAGGTCTTTGGGGTTTTGGGGTTTTGGGGTTTTGGGG